ACTTTTTAGGTACTCTCTAAAATTTGATATAGTTTCTCTCTCTAAAAAATAAAATATGAGATTGTTTCTCTCTCTAAAAATTTTGAAAATAGTTTCTCACTAAAAAAGAGATTGTTTCTCTCTCTAAAAATTTGCATGTACTTTCTCTCTCTAAAATATGATAGTTTCTCTCTAAAACTTAAAATTTGAGATAGTTTTTCTCTCTGAAATTTTAAGATAGTTTATCTCTCTAAAAAAATTTGGTACTTTCTCTCTCTAAAATTTTAACATACTTTCTCTAAAATTTTAACACAATTTCTCTCTTTATAAGTTCAAATTTGAGATAGTTTCTCTCTAAAATTTTGAGATAGTTTATCTCTCTAAAAAAATTTGGTACTTTTTCTCTCTAAAATTTTAACATACTTTCTCTCTAAAAGTTAAATTTGAGATAGGTTTTCTCTATAAAAATTTTGAGATAGTTTCTCTCTTTAAAAAAATTAGGTACTTTCTCTCTCTAAAATTTTCATACCTACCAAATGCTCCCCCTATGTTTCAAGTCGAGGGAGCCAATGAGTGAAATCCATGGGCCGTGGAAATGCAAAAAAACAGGTTTTTGTGTGGAAATGAAATCATGGAAAAGTAGGTCTTATTTCCATGATTTTGATTTTCCTGATTTTAAGTATCCTAGTCATTAAACAATCCAAACTGTGGATTTTGATAATATCCAAGATATTAGGAATCCATGCCTTAAAATCCATACTCAAACAGGCCCTAAAGAAATTTCATCGAGTTTCTCTACTTGTTGCATGTTAAATGTGTTCTAAAATAGAATTTTTACTAAAACTCGGGTTGAACTTGTTAGAGGCTTCCGTCTTCATTTCTTATAGAATAATCACGAATATTTTGGTGATTAAAGATTGGCTACCAGAAATTCAATGCATAATCTCCCCATCAATTATTCAAATAATGGCCCGCCTAGTGCCTAGACAGACCTGAGGGGAGGGCCATCTAGGAGCCAGGTCCCTGGGCACGCACACAGGGACCTTGGGCGTGCCTAGCACCTAGGCCTAGAGGGCTCCTAGGGACCTAGCAAGCCTAGAGGGAAAATGCCCCTCGGCTATGGGCATTTTCAGTCATTTTCCCCCCAAACAGGATTCCTGGACACCCCCTACCCCATTTCTAAACATGGGCCGCCCAGATCCTTGGGCACCCGCCTAGGCACTACACAGCATAGGCACTGCCCATTGTTTTTTAAAATATTGCTCACCATTACGCTGAATAAGCATATTTTTTTAATTATTCAACCATTTCATTTACCAAGTTCAAAACTTAACCAGATTTGCCAAGATTTATATGTTCTCCTACAACATCAAGATGTCAAATTTATGACATTAAGGTATATCTGAAGAGATCACCATCAAATCACTGGGCAGATACCAACCATATTACTGCAATACAATAGAGCCATACCTTAAAATGCTCATAGGCCACATCAAGGCGACAAGCACCCACCATACCCGTTGGAATGTTCAGCTGCTTTACGTATGCCACTACAAGAATAATGCAATTTAGAGTACAACTTCCCATCATTCACTAAAATAAGCTTCTGTTCAATAATAATTCAGTTGCTTTAGGGCATAGAAATCTGCACTTCATATACAGTATAGTGAAATCAAAGAAGGGAAAAGAAAGTATGGATCGCCCCTGGCATTAATTGCTATTTCCTGATGTTTGTATTTTGTTTTGCTAATAAAACTGAGATGTCATTATGCTATTGTCTCTGGATCTATGTGGGTCAAAACCATAGAACAATTTTCCTTAAATGTAAAATATGTAAGATACAGGCATGTTATCCATATTGCAATCTCAATGGCCAATAACAGCTTAGGGCGTGCATATAGAGATTTGATTAGTTCCAATGTTAAGAATACACTTAGAATCACCAAAAAATGACTCCTAATATTTCGAATGCTAATAAGTAATGGGTGTAAATGAAACAAGCAAAACTAGCAAAGAAAGATTAAAGTACATATCAACATCATCATATTAAGGAAACATGTTCAGATGCATACAGTTAATGTATTCAAGTTCAACTTTCTGGCTAACCTGTATTAGTTCACATTCAACAGAAGACAGTTCAACTGATGAAATACGAGATTCTTGTCTGTTTCTACCGTAGTTATTTCTCCTAAGAATACCATCACTCTCTTTAACATTGAGAGAGAATCTATCACCCCTTTCCCTTATTGTATGAAAAATGAACAAATAAGGAAGAAGAACAGCCTAATCCCAAACTTAAACTACAAGGAAACCTTGTTAAGTACCATTTCCAAAATAAAAGCTAATTATCCTATCAGCAAAGCAAAGAAACCTGATCACTATAGTAAGATCCTACCACTATGTTCGTGAATACTCAATTCTTCAAACAAAGTATTGCTCAATCAATAAATCACTACACACCGATTCAACCTAAAAAGACAAAGTGCTCCACTCCAAAGGAACCACATCTGACGCCTCTCTATGGTATATAAAATATTCTCTGCAGTATGCACCAAGTAGAAGTATATCAACCTGCTAGCAAATAAAATAAGACCCAGACACTCTTTAGACTGGTGGGAGTCAAGGACATGAGTTCCATTAAGCTAAGTGGCAAGAAGTGTATCCAACCAAATGATCATTGAGTGCATGGTGCAACATAAAGCAAATGAATAGGTTCTAATGTCTTAGCGGACATTTAGGCTATATAATTAAAAGAATAAATTATGGAGGTAAATTGTATGATCAGGAAAGCAGTGAAATATGGAATGGGAAGTTGAATAGTGAGTAGGATATCTGGTGCTTGGAAAGCAACTTGCGATATGAATGAAGAGGCTAGAAGTGATTTACAGGTGGTAGTGGGTAACAGATAAGAGGTCTCAAATTTGGCAGATAGATGTTAGGGTGATATTATCTGGATGCCTTTTCCCTTCATTAGTAGAGTCCATAGACTTTTGAGTGAGGTGGGACAATATTTTCTGAAAGAGCCTCAAGGTGTAAAATGGATACCTCAAGGTGTCAAATGGATACCAACCATGAAGAGGAACCCAAAAGAGGAAATTATGGAGTTAACAAACATTGGAGATAAATCAGGAAGTTATTTTACGAATGAAGAAAGCACCTAGTTCTGGAGCTAGAGGCTTCTGGACGTTTTTTCTTTCTTTTTTTGTTTGAAATGTTACTTTTTGTATGTTGGAAATATGGCCTATCAAGGCCTAAATTCCAGTAGTCTCTCATTCAGCGGGAACGATTGAGAGATTGAAATATTGGCGCCATGCGAAATGGAGCCCAGATTCTTTTACCCCAAGTACGCATGAAGTATCGAGAGTTCACATGTTGAGAAATCAGGTGTGAGGATCACCTCCTAGTCAGGATTTTATAAGTTAGCCTCATGTTTAGTTGCGATCGGCCAGGGCTTGGAGAATCCAAACGAGAAAAATAGAACGCGAGTATTTATTGAGTATTCGCCCAGTATGGAATAGTCAAGACTTATGGGATATAAGTCTGTATCCTGAAACGAGACCGTTACATGGCATATGCATTTTCATTTCGTATGGGAAGTCACTCTTCTAAATGCATTATCCGAGTTTGAAAGAGCCAGTGCACATGTGCTTTACGAGACCCCTGTAATTGAGTTAGATCATAACCCACAAGGGTACACCTATAATCCATTGAGAGCCAGATGATCGAAAGTTCTGGCTCAACGGCTTTGATATGGCCAATTATGTGTCACTGCTTTAGGCTGTGGAACATAAGTCTATTGGGTTGATCTGAAACTCGACAAAACATCATTCGAGAATAGACCAATGGAGTACTCCGATACCTACTAGTTTTTTTTTTTTTTTTTTTTTTTTGAGTGTTTACTCTGATACCTACAGCTTGAGATCGCACAATACCTTTTGTCCGATTTTATAATGATGAGAAAACCTAATAATTGCTCAAAAATACTTTAAATATTTATTGTGAATTTTAGAGAATTTTTCGAATTTTTATTTGCTAAAAAAAATGAGGTTTTTCAAATTGTTTGACTCAAATTCCACTTTAATCCTGACCTGGTAGTGCCATGTGGCATCCGAGTGGCCATAGGACTGCCACATGGCACCCCACGACTCACTCTAAGATCATCACCCAGCTAGGCACTGATCCCTAGGCAGGGGGACCAAATTGGCATTTGGTTGCTTGTTTTATAAGGGGTTGTGTTATGGTGTCTTGTTATGTATTGTTATATTTTGTTATAGGGTGGGATTTGTATAGAGCCTAGACTATCAACAATCAAATTAGAGCCTACCCTCAAATAGAGTCGAGAAATGTGGTTTCAATACTAGAAATCTGTGTGATAGCCTTAAAATATATTTTAATCTTCATTTATAAAAATGTAAAGTTTCAAAAATTGTGTAGATCAACAAATCTACAAAAACTTGAAAATCGACAGTCCGAAAATGTGTTACAAAATACACCATTTCCAAAACTTGAAATCCATTTTTTTCTCATGTCCATGCATCTTGATGTCGAGATCATCAATTTGAGGATATTTGGACATCAAAACAGCCTCTTCAAGTGAAATTTTTGAAGTAGGTTCCAATTTGATGGTTTAGAGCCTCGGCTCTATATAAACTTTTCCCTCTGTTATATAGTGTTATCACTTCAGGCCCCTTTTTTATCACATCTTAATTAATTGACACATGGGCCATGCATGGCATGAGTAAAATTTAATTAATTTATTTATTTGATATTAAAGAGAAAATGGATTTTCAAATTTAAGTGGAAAAATATCTTCACACACATGTGTGAAGGGGGCATTATCTTTAAATTGATTGGTTTGAAATTATAGATCTACAAAGTGATTGGTTTTGATAAAATAGAATATCTTCACGTGTGTGAGCTTTGCCAATTACTTCTTTGCCTTAACCCTTAGTGGTTATCTATTCTAATAAATTATTCAAAAACTAAGGGTGTTTTTGTAAGGGCATATTGGATACAATTGAAATAAAAACATGGATCAAGGACAAAATAGTAAAGTGGTATAACTTAGGGTTAGGGTGAATGATAATGGTGTGAAATCACATCCCTTCATCCTAGTGGTTGGATGGGGATGGGTGGCTAGGTACATTAGCCTCTCATGTGCCTTTGAATTAGTGCATCAAGGGTGTTGATTGAGTCCAAGGTTACACCCATATTATAAAAGCACAACATGAGATAACAAACCCTAACTATCTCAACTCTTGAACCATTTTGGAAAATTTGTGCTCCCCCCTTTTCTAAAGCTTTGTGGGAGAAAATTGAAGCGAGAGAGACCCTACGTTCTTTTTCACAAAAGGCTTTTAGAGTTCCATTGATGGTGGTCCTCCTTTCTTATGCTTAAGTCCATAGTGTGCATTTATCAAGGTAAACTCCATTGAAATTTTTTTTCTCATAAGTTCATATTATTGACATCTGTAGTTGCTAGAGTTTTGAATTTACAAAAGTTTCATTGATCTTAGAATCCACATTTGATCATCTTTTTTATCATGCTTATTCATAGTGTGGTCCTTCATGAGTTATAGCCTATATGCATGAGAATCTATGATCATGCATAATATCCATTGATTACTTTGCTTCAAATCCATCAAATACTTTTGTCTCAATGTGACACTGAATTTCTAGAAGTTTTTCATCACATTTTTACCTATGGGCGTTCATAATCTTTTCATACAAGACCACCGTGTATAGTTTGGCTGTAACTCTCTTATTTTTATCCGATTCGATTCAAACCTTTTGCATTCTGTTTTGGATGATATTGCCACTGTGTTGAAATCTTAAGAAGTGATTTTAAGGTGTA